ATTTTTTTATTTTTAACTAACAATTTTTTTTTAATGGTTTTAGTTTTTGTTAATAACAATATCCCCGTTTCAGACCACTCAGCTCACAGAGAGACCAGCGTGTGTAAAGAAAGACTACTCCAACTTCATGGCCTCCCTCAACCTGAGAAACCGCTATGCTGGAGAGGTAATGCTGAATAATAAAGCAGAGGCTGCTGGGTATTTTATGAGTCTTAACTCCTCACGTGTCTCGTATGCAGGTGGCAGGGATGATCCATTTCTCTGAGGCCACGCGGAGCACGTCAGATCTGAATAAGCTGATGATTCGGCAGATGAATGAAGCTCTGGACGAAGGCCAGCCGGAAGCCTTCACTGAAGCCATGTTCAAAATGGCTGCGCTGTTGATCAGCTCCAAAGGCATGTTATTACTACATTAGCCAACAGTAGATGTTCATGCCTTTAAATTGCAATAAAGACAAACTGCATAATAAAACACTGAAATATGCCACAAATCAACGGTGTGTTGTTGTTTTTATAGATAACAGGATAAGATCAATAAGACCACAGGCAGTTATTATCAAAGTCCCTGGAGTTTTGATTTGATGTTGTGTTTATTGTGTAGAATGGGACCCTCAGCTGCTGCATCAACTGTGCTGGTCTCCATTAAAGATGTTCACTGAGAATGGCATGGAAACGGCTATTGCCTGCTGGGAATGGCTCCTGGCTGCAAGGACAGGCGTTGAAGTCCCGGTAAGATAAACACATGTGTATGTAAAGCTGTCATAATACCAATATTTTGTCAATGCATACCAATGCCAGTAAAATTATACGGTTCTCAAAACCCAAATTAAATGTAAGTATGCTGAAAAGAAAATGAAAAAAAAAAAACTCTAATTATTCCAGTAAACAGTAATTTAAAGTAATAAAACAGGTTAGAAAGGCAAGTAAATAACATAGAAATGTATTCAAATTCCCAATATGAAGAAATAAAGCAGCAGAAATATAATGACATGTAAAATAGTACTTTATAATACTATTGTTTTTATTCACAAGTTATTAAATTAATATCAAATTATTATGTTATGTAGTTATTATCAGCTACAGAAATAAAATTAAAATAATGAAATGTAAAATAGTACTTTATAATACTATTGTAATCATTCATATAATTGAATCTTATTTTATATATATATATATATATATATATATATATATATGTGTAACTCTTTATTAATAATATATTATAACAATCTCACACACACACATTTTTTTTATTGTATTGCATTGAACACCTCAAAACATTTGCACATGTAAAAGTCTAACAATGTATTCAGTATACAATAGTAGTACACAGTACGCTAGTATTCTGTTCACGATGTAGCCTAAATCTGTGCTGTTATATTACGTTTCCACATATTACGTGTATATCTTAGCTATGCAGGTTTTCCCAGGCTTTTTGCTAGTTTTCACTGAATTTCTCCTCTGTTCTGGGGTCAGTTAATGCGGGAGATGGCAGGTGCATGGCAGATGACCGTCGAGCTGAAGATGGGGCTGTTCTCCGACGCCCAGGTGGAGGCGGATCCTCTGGCGGCCTCAGAGGAAAGCCAGCCCGTCCCCTGCCCGCCCGACGTCACGCCCCACTACACCTGGATTGAGGTTACTTCCTGTTACCCTGTTTATCTGTCCAAGCTTATGGGCATTTTCATAGCTGTGGATTTACCCATCCAAAAGCTCCTTATGATACACACCTCAATTGTGACCCTGGACCACAAAACCAGTCATAACGGTCAATTTTTTTTATACATCATCTAAAAGCTGACTAAATAAGATTTCTATTGATGTATGGTTTGTTAGGTTAGGACAATATTTGGCCGAGATACAACTATTTGAAAATCTGGAATCTGAGGGTGCAAAAAAATCTAAATATTGAGAAATTCGCCCTTTAAAGTTGTCCAAATGAAGTTCTTAGCAATGCATATTACTAATCAAAAATTAAGTTTTGAGATATTTACAGTAAGAAATGTACAAAATATCTTCATGGAACATGATCTTTACTTAAAAACTGATTTTTGTCATAAAAGAAAAATCAATAATTTTGACCCATACAATATTTTTTTGGCTATTGCTACAAATTAGGGATGCACCGATACTGGTATTGGTATTGGGCCCGATGCTGAGCTCCTATACTCGTACTCGTTAAAATGCCCCGATACCAAACGCCGATACCACGCAACATGTGATAAGTGCCATATTCAGACAATGAAACACAGACAACAGAACAACAGACAGCAGAATGGAGTTATTAGAGATTAAGGATGTCTACGAAGTATATGTATGCAATGAATATAATGTTAAACATTCCGTATTAACGCCTGTATAGCTGATGTGCACGAGCTGATGAGCAAAGCACACTGAGTGGATTGAGCGCGCGGCGGCTCAGATGCGTGAGCTTGTCGAGTGAATATACCTTTCTCACAGACATCACTGGAAAGTTTGTAGTTCGGTCGGATATGTCAAAAACAAGTAAAACAATGCACATGTTACTGCACGACTCGCCGTCGCTTTCTCTCACACGCACTAAGAGAAGGAGCGAGCGAGAGTCTTACATAACATGCAGAATTGATGCGCTACATGTAAACGATATAGGTTGTTGTATTTTCCTGTAAAAATAGAGTTCCTGTGGAATTCTTCAGCTTTTAAGAAGTGCTGGGTT